CTGATGATGAAAGGTACGATACGGAATCGTCATCTTCTGATACTAATACGCAATACGACTCCGAGCGGGAGCGACGATGTGACCAACAATGCACGGGCATTATTACGGCCAGTAGGAGGCATAAGAAGGAGCGGAACTTCCAGAGGAAGGTGGGCTGCTGCCGGCATTCAATGTAACAGTGTACTGTGGGAATATGTAGATCAAGTTGATCAAGAAGAACTTGAGAGCATGGAATAAGAAGATAAGTAAGGCAGAGACTGAAGAGATCGAGAGGGCTCGTAAGGAGAGAGCTAAGTATGCTGGTAATGACGACATCGATGATGATAATTGGCAAGGACCAAGTGGCCATCATAATGATAAGTGAGTTAACGTCGATTCAAGGCATTCTCGGATGCCTAGGGGAATTGCGAATTCTCAAAGGCCTCTCATGAATACGAATACTTCTATTTCAACTCATCATTGAAGCACAGAGGTAGTCTCTGACTGAAGACTCACAGGAGCGTAGCACGCCGAGAAATATTCTTTGCCGCGCGGTTCTCCCTAACGATTCGGCCCCCACCACTGCGTAGGATCGATGGTCGGAAGAACAGCGAGAGCAGCTCTTCATCTCAAGTGCAATTAAATACTAGTAGAACCTCTTCTACTACCAGAGCGGATACATCAGCATTCTCACTGGGTAACGACCTTACTGCACCAGAGAGAGATGGCATAGTCATAACACTTCAGGATCTCAGTATGATTCTGATTCTGACCCTGATAACGATTTTGGCGATCTTCCAAGCGACCCAGATGAGAATGAGGAACTCAAAAGGCTGGCAGGGCGGATCATGCGAGTGCATATGTCCAGCCTTAACTCTTACTCTCGATTTGGAAGGAGACCGCAGCGCAAGAAGCCCGCCGGTCCTTCCACCACATCGAGGGAGACTGTAGGTTGTTGATGGCCACGAACAGTGTTATTGTTCCCTGTATTATAGTCCAAATTCGTTCCTTCCCCGAAAAAGACAAGTCGTGCTCCTCAGAAGGTGCTCACTACAGTGATTAACGCCAGCTCGGAGGATGCTCCGTGGGAAACGGTAAAAGAGCGTGACTAGTACAATTGTATGGATATGTTTCTGCCGCTATAGGTCTTTATGGCTGAGGTTGCTGACAACAAGAACTTGAAAGAATCGGTGAAGGATGATTTAATTAAAATGATGCGGTAATGAGCTGCCTGCCGATCCTCAGACCATTTGGGACTTCCTCTCAGGGTTCTAACAGACGAGCTCGCTACCGGAGGTTCCTTGTCGACGCTGAGACGGTGCCTGCAAGTGGGCAGGCTGTAAAACGATGGATACCAGAGGAGGCTTCCTCGTGGAGTCCTATAAGGAAG